CTCAAGTGCTCCAGCGACAGAAAACACACAGAGTGAGGCAACCCAGGTTTTTGTGGTGATATGTAAGAACAGGCTCAAAATTTCTATGAAACCTCCACTTTTGTAATTAAATTTATAGTCTACTCCATGGCATACTGATGTTTGGTTTTTAATAGACAAACAAGGCTTGAAACCACTATTAAGGACCACTGATACTCTGGGGCAGATGCATGCTTCCCTCCCCCCTGCCCCCAGCCGTTATTCTCTACCCTTCCTAGAACACCATCTTTATCTGAAGCCATTTATATACACTTATTCAGATTACTACCAGGAGGCCAGCTATCTGTCTGGAGCAGAGGTGTGGTCTGTTGCCTTGAAACAGCAAAATACCCAGCAGAAAGGAGGACTAACCTAGGACAGCTAGTCTCAATATCTCCTGCAGACGAGGACTTTTTTCCTGCCTAAGTGTATCATCTACTCTTGCCCTGTCCCCATTGAATCTCTTCCTGTTTTCTTTGTAATAACTACTTTTCTAAGTTACCAGGGTTTGGAAGATTTCTATGTTAATAATTCCTTCCTGCTACAGTTATCTGCTAATATACATAAACTATTCCAGAATAAAGATGACTTACCTTTTCCACAGTATACATCCATTCCAAATGTAAGTTGCACCTCTTAAAGCCACAGTTCAGAAATGCTTCATTTCAAGAAATTATTACATGAATGAGCTACATCATCAGAAATGATTGCATAAGTGGCCAGCTGTTGCATACAGATGTGTGGGAGTTTTTTTTTTCCCAAAAAAAATTAAGTTTATCCCACTCAAAGTTTTATTAATTGCATTTGGAGTAACATTATAAAGTTGTTTTATGGTGTAGACCACTCCACACTTATTAAAACTGAGCATTCTGACTTCTACTTTAAACCTTCCACATAAGACATACCCAGTCCTAACCAGATGAGTTCTCTCTCCAACTACCTTTCAACAAAAAACAAATAAGCCCTAATAAGGAATTAATGATTGGTGTGTCATACATTAAGAGACCCATTAGACATCATTGTAGACCAAATACAATATACATGTCATTTTACAATAGCAGTTTGACTTCCTAAAACTAAGTTATTTATTTAAACTAAATAAATTTGTTTTTAAAAAAATGGAATTTTCAAAATCTTTAGGGAGCAGATTCATTCTCTTGGTGATCTTCATGCAATGCTGATCTTTCTATTCTGTGTTTTCAGGATATTATCAACTCAGTGGTAACAGCAGTATTCATGATAGTTGTATCTGTGTTGGCACTGATCCCAGAAACCACAACATACACAGTCCTTGGAGGGGTAAGTGGAGGTTCTTTCCAGTTTCTCCCTTCAGGTTCGATCAGAATTCAAATTTACTTGAAAAATAGATAGAGGAACAGAAAACTAGATGGTTTTCATCCTTGAGGCTCCTATCCCAGTACACAGTATCTAGTGACTTAATATTTTTGTGCATGAACACATGCCCTGATTAATGTGAAGGAATATGATTTCACACTAAATTTGAAGTTAACCAAATAAAGAGGTTCCTCTGTATTTCTCACAGATATATAGGGTTAGGAATCAGTTACAATACTAAGCTCTCAGAAACCTGATATGAAGCAAAAATAACAAATGGTGGATGAATTTCATAGCTATCCCTTTTCAAGAAAATTATACATCCCGCTTGTTAAGGAGAGACATACAATTCTGAGCTCAGTTATTTCTTGTCCAGATACTGCTACAGATGGAATAAACATGTGTCATGTAAGGGAATGGGTGGTAGGAAGACTTGTAACAAAAGGATTATTTTGAACACTGCTTGAAGAAAAGCTAATCAGTTTGATTTGGAAGGCAAGCCAAAACAAACCAAGAGTCAAGTAATTTAGTTACAGTTTCATCTGATATTCTTCTGAGATTTCTTAGAGGGGGTTCAAAATCATGACTTTTCTAGGTTCCAATTTAGAGAAGTGAATTAGAAAGTTCTTAAATAAATCTCCCTCCAACTTCCTTATCTTTTCTTAGTATGGGCCACTTGGGAGAAGTGGCCACATATGTCAGAATCCAGTCCATGTAGTCAAAGCTATGGTTTTTTCAGTAGTCATGCACAGATGTGAGAATTGGACCACTAAGAAGGCTAAGTGCCAAAGAACTGATGCTTTCAAACTGTAGTGCTAGAGAAGACTCTTGAAAATCCCTTGGACTGCAAGGAGATCAAACCAGTTAATCCTAAAGGAAATCAACCCTGAATACACATTGGAAGGAATGATGCCGAAGCTGAATCTCCAATACTTTGGCCACCTGATGTGAAGAGCCGTCTCACTAGAAAAGACCCTGATGCTGGGAAAGATTGAAGGCAGGGGGAGAAGGTGATGACAAAGGATAAGATCATTGGATGGCATCACCAACTCAATGGACATAAGTTTGAGCAAACTCCAGGAGATGGTGAAGGACAGGGAAGCCTGGCGTGCTGCAGTCCATAGCGTTCCAAAGAGTCATACACGACTTAATGACTGAACAACAGCAAAAATTTTTCCACTTCACTAGGCCCAAAGCAATTTCATGAGGGATGAGAATTACCCTAGAAATGAGATAGTGCTGCAACAGCAATTTCTGCTAGCTATCTTTAAAGATTATTTTATCCCTCTACTAGGGAGAAAGAAGGAGGAGGCACAGAATTTACTTTCATTTCCTCATTAACTCATTGATTCATTCTTTAAGTGCACTTTGGTAGGTGCTGACAAAGTATAGAACCGTAAACCACAGGTGGCTGAGCACTGGAAATGTGGCTGGTCTGAACTGAGATGAGTTGCACATGTAAAATACACATTGGATTTCAAAGACTTACTACTCCCTCCAAAGAACGTAGAATATTTCACTTATAATTCTATTATATTGTTGGTATGTTGAAATTATATTATTTTGGATATATCAGGCTGCTGCTGCTGCTAAGTCGCATCAGTTGTGTCTGACTCTGTGCGACCCCATAGATGGCAGCCCACCAGGCTCCTCTGTCCCTGGGATTCTCCAGGCAAGAATACTAGAGTGGGTTGCCATTTCCTTCTCCTATATCAGGCTAAATAAAGTATATTATTGAAATTAATTTCACTTGTTTCTTCTTTACTTTTTAATGTGGAAATTGGAAATTTTTAGATCAATCATGTGGTTTACATTGGTAACTCGTATTTCTTTTGGATGGCTCTGAACTAGAATGTGACCCCTATCCTCAAGTTGCTTAAAGCCTAATACAGGAGACAAAAGTGCAAACAGCTGTATTTAAGTTGTTAATGGAGTACTATGGAGCACAAGCAAAAGGAAGCAACTACCTCTGTCTGGCAGGCTTCTCAGGTGGCTCAGTGATAAAGAATTCACCTGCCAATGCAGGAGACTCGAGTTCCATCCTTGGGTCAGGAAGATCCCCTGGAGAAGGAATGGCAACTTATTCCATTATTCTTCCCTGGAAAATTCCATAGACAAAAGAACCCAGTGGGTTATAGTCCATGGGTTCGCTAAAGAGTCAGACACGACATAGCAACTAAACAACAACAGGATCTCTCTCTGGCAGTGGAATCATAGTTTGCCAGGAATAAAGGGGAAGAAAGACAGATGCTTACTGGCAGAGAAACCAGCAGCATGCTCAGTAGCAGAGTCATAAAAGCATCTGTAATAAGTGTTGGGTTGGTCAAACAGTTGATTCAGGTTTTCCAGTGACATCTTATGGGAGAACCCAAATGACTTTTTTGGGCAATCAAATACTTAGCATGATCAGAATCTAGGAAGCTGTGTTTGAGATTCAGGATAGGAAAGGGACAGAATCTGAAGCCAGACCTCCTGGGCAGTTGGATGGAGCTGGTGATAGCACTGACATCCCTCTCTCCAGCCCAGTTCTCAAATAGCCATCAGAGAACCTAAAGACCATGTACCAGTTAATTCCCTTTACTCAGTTTTTCCTGAGGCTTATTTAGAATCTCACCCCTTATGTGGATGTGGCCCAGCCTTGGAGAGCTCACTTTGGATCATCTCCTCACTCCAGTTCTCCAAAGTTCTTATCACAGCTTAACTCTTGAGCTGATGTTAACCCTGACTTTTTATCTGGTACAGTTGCAATAGAAAAATGGAACAGTTGAACATTGGGTATAGAAATGTTTATTAGTAACTAAATATTATCAGTAGGGCTTTAAACAGTAATATCGGGGAACAGGAGATCCAGACAAGTATTTGCTTCAGAGCCCACACCACTTCAGTATTGGTTTCTGCTCACTTAAATGATCTTTCCCTTTCTCTAGGAAGGTACTGGGAAAACTTGAGAATGCAAATAAAATGATCTCTGAAATCTCTTCCCATTCTAGTATTAGATGACAGCATAGGGAACTCTAACAGGAGAGGAAGCTGGCAGGCAGACCACTTAAAACCTGTGTGACCGGGGCCATCAGCAGTGACACTGTGTCTTTGTTTCAGGTGTTTGGACTCGTGGCCTCAGTGTTCTCTATTGCCGATGGGGCACTTATTTACCGGAAGCTGCTGTTTAATCCAAGTGGTCCTTATCAGAAAACTGATGCTCATGACAAACTATGAGTTTTGTAAATTTACATTCTTTTTAGTCGATGCTAAGTATTAAACATATCTCTTTTTCTAACACATACTTTTCTGCAGTTCTCATTTTCATCTCTATATGGGAGCTGGAAGAAGAGATTCAGGAACTGTGCGTCCAGCGCTCACTGGCACTGTAACTTCCAAGGAAGCGCTGGGAATCCGGCCTGAATCGCATCGGATCCCTTTTCCTACTCCTGGGCCCAAGGTGGGTGGGGGGCGGGGAGGCAGAAGGAGAAAGCGCCCGGACCGCCCGAAATGGTCCCCAGAGCCCACTCCCCTCGGCTGGCTGGCAAGACGGCGGTGGCGGCATTGCGGGGATCTCGAGTTCCCCGGCGTCACTTCCCGGCGGCTACGAGGTGTCTGGGGGGCTGGGTTTATCCGCGGGGAGCGACAGCTGCGTGCGCCCGCGAGGGAGAGGCGGTCAGCAGCCGTTGGGGCAAGACACTGGTTCCCAGAGGAGGGCTGGCCGCCGCCGTGCAAGGTTCAGAGCCCCAGGGCCCGTGAGACACCACCAGGCCCAGGGGTCCACCATGGATGCTAAAAAGGACAACCTACCTTTGAAGGGCTCGAAACCCCGGGGGACTCTCTCGCGCTCTGTACACATCGCAGAGGGGGCGCATCCCGAGCGCTCGGGTCGATCCACACTCTCCCAGCGCGGCGTCAGCGCGGCGCCCTCAGCATCCGTACTCAAGCCGCCTTCAACCCCCGCGACCCTCAGCCAAGAAGAGAAGGAGGCCATCCAAAAGCGTGCTGAGGGCCGGGCCAAAGTCCCGCCCAAATTCAGGGACAGCGTCAAGCGTTTTTTCTTCTCGCCCACAGGAGCCTTGAAGATCATTAGGCTGGTGAGCAGAGAGAGCTGGTGACCCGCTGGGCAGATGCAAGGGTGGAGGCAGGCCGACTTGGCCTCTGGGAGTGAGTGATTCCCAGGGGTGCGCCACCTGGGGGGAAGCTTCCCTAATTCCCTTTGCCAGTCTTCACCTTTCTTCCGCCTCTCCCCTGACTCCTCCTACGCACTCAAGCCTTGCTACTAAATTTGGCACGCTACCCACCAACCCCCAATCCCTCACTTATATATTTCTCAGGTTTTCCCTCACAAAGGGAATTAGGGAAGCAATGGGGATAATAGCAGGAAAGTGTAAGTTAGCAAACAAAAATAATAGAATTGACCAATAAAACTGGTAAACCACTGGTCCATATAACAGGAAAAAAGGGGGTGGGGTGGGGAAGGACATATATTTAAAGTAGAAACCAGAAAGGGAAAATACTGTAAACGGGGAACTGAAAGGATTCACAAGAGTTACTTTGCAAAACAAATGTGAATAACTGGGTCAAAGAGTTGATTTTCTAGGAAAGTATGTTACCAAAACTGATCCCAGAATAGAGAAAAATCAAAACAGACCATATAAACACAGGAAGGAAAATTTCAAAATTGTATCAGGCCCAGAAGATTGAGGGCAAGAGAACGGGGTGACAGAGGCTGAGCTGGTTGGATGGCATCACCAACTCAATGGACATGAGTTTGAGCAAACTCCAGGAGATGGTGAAGGACAGGGGAGCCTGGTGTGCTGCACCTCCTGGGGTTGCAAAGATTAAGACAGGACCTAGCAACTGAATAACAACAACAATCAGGCCTAGGCTTTTTCACAGGTTAACCCTTTCAAACCTTCGTAGGATGCAATTCTGATACTATTCAATCGTTTTCAAGGACTAGAGAAAAAAGAAACACTTCTAAACTGTTTTTATAAAGTCAGTGTAACATTGACCTCAACCCTGACCAAATTCAGAAAAAGAAAAGTAAAATATTCAATAGAAATCTCACTAGTACCAAAGCAATAATATTAGCACGTTAGCAGAAAACATTCATTGGTACTTCTTAAAAACACATCATGAAGAAGAAACATAAGGATGACTCAATATTAGGACTCTGTTAGACAAATCCATCATAAGTAAAAGGAGAAAAAATTAAGACACCAATCAAAGAGGGTATAGAACACATTTGACAAAATTCAACATTCATCTCTGATTGCAAAAAAAAAGTGAGCAAGGGAAGAAGAGAGAAAGACCAGTTAACTAGGAATATATTGATATTTCACTGACATTATAAAATAAACCCCAAAATCAGTATCATATATAATTAAACCTCAGAAGTATTCCCATTAAAATGAGAGAAGTATTCCCATTAAAAATAAAGAGGATGCCCACTATTAATGCTATTATTCAGTGTTTTGCTGGAAACACTAGTCATCACAATCACACAGGAAAAAGGAATAAGTAAGACTATTTGAAAAAGCAAAATATATCATTTCTTACAGCTGATCTGATCAAAGATCTAAAAATAAAATTGACTGGGAAACACTCTAGAATACAATAATTTCTACTAACTTAGTAGAAATGAGCAAACAAGCACTTAGAATAGAAGAAAATATTTCTCTTTACAACAACAATCAAGATGGTAAAATATCTAAGATTAAATGAAATAAATTTGAAAGACCTATACAAAGAAAACTTTAAAACTCTATTGAGAGATATTTTAAAAACCACTAAAATAACTGGAAAGACATACGTTGTTCTTGAAGGGTCAGACTAAATTTTGTAATCTTTCCATATTATAAGTTAAAGGAAATTCCAATTAAAATACCAACAGGCTTAGTTTGGGGAACTTGATCAAGACAAAAATAAGAAACATAAACAACCTGAGAATAGGTACTGAAAGGGGGTGCAAGCCAGGCAACTTATACAAGCAACTTATAATTTCAAAAGTACTAGAAAAGTCAGCAACTCAATACAGGAAAAGAGTTTCAAAATCAAATACATATGAGAATTTAGTATATGATAAAGTTGGATTTCAGATCAGTGGTGTTTCCCAACAAATGACGTTGGGATAATCAGCAGGTGTTTGGAAAGAAAGAAAGGTGGGACTTTATCTCATTCTTTCTCTCAAAATCAATATATATTTACTTCACTTGGCCTATATATACACAGTTCTTTCTGGCATGAAATATACACAGTTAACACTGATTACTTTTAAGGAGATACACTAGGATTGGGACAAGGGAGGAGAAAGAAGCTTCTGTACTGTGTGCATTTTTTATTTGTGTGTGTTATTTCATTTCTTAAGAAACATTAAGGAATTTTAAAACTAACATATATGTGCTAAACAATACAGGCCATTGCAATATAATCAGATTTGCACTCTGACCATTTATGGTTTTGTTCTGTTTTTTGTTTTAATAAACAGCCCACATGAAAAAAAACAAAGCCTGTTTGTTTGTTTGTTTACTGCAGGGCCTTCTCATAGGGGCATTCATTTTTTTCATCATTGCCGAAGCCCCAGAGTCCTACATAGCAATCACCATTCTGGAAACCTGCATCGTTGTTTTTTTCATTCTAATATATATGCTAACCCTTCAACACTTGATGACTTATTTACATTGGCCCTTACTTGTAAGTGTTCCTTTTCATAATTTTCATATAAACTTTGCATCTCAGGTAGCTCTGAGAAACTGCTCCAAAGAGGCAGGGGGGAAGGTCATGTGACTCTGGTGAAGGGGAAGTACATGCCATCAAGCACTTATTTTTCCAGACGGTTTCTATTAGTCTCATGACGCTTTTGCTAGGCACGAGGAACAGTCGTCACTGTGAAGGATTACAGTGCTTTTCTCCATACGAAGAGGAACAAGAACTGCACTCATAAAATCAGCTCCTGAAAATATCTATCTGAAGACCTGTCCTGCCAGTTTTTCCCTGAGCACAGAGTGCCTCATTTCTGCTCTCCACCCTGAACTCCTTTCAGGAGGTGTTGAAAATCAGCAGCTGCATGATTTAATCCTTGTAGAGGTAGACGGCAAGTGCCAATTTGTAGCTGATGGTTGCTATTGAATTGAAACTCAAAATACTTTCTTGGAGCATCTGAGAGATTTTCTAAAAAGGCTGCTGAGCTCTCCCTGTCCCACAGAGTGCTGAGCAGCAGGAAGCGGAGCAGGCAAACTGTGAGCAGCTTTAATTGGACACGTGGAAAGGCCTCTCAGTTATGGAGAGCTATAACCACGGAGAGGTTTCTGAGGGGAAACTAAAATCTCTGTCCATGGAATTTTCAAGAAGGGAAGGTAAAGTAACGGTTTTTGAGTACATTCCACGTACCCGATACTTCTTCATACAGATTGCCTTATTTCATCCTCACAACAACCCGGTGAGGTTGTGATCACCGCCCCGCCCCCACCCCCAACCGCCACTGCCCGCTTAATGGATGAGAAAGTTGGATTAAAGAGACCATTAATATGACCATTACCCATGGTCATATGTAGGCACATGGAAACTCAGATTTGAGCCCAGGTCTGTCTGACTCTAAAGCCCAGACTCTTTGCAGACTTTATACCCTTAGTGCCTTGTGATGTTTTCTCTCAACCCTTTTCCCTATGTCTTCACCCTCCTCACATTTTCTAAATTTTATCTTCTCTGAAGATAGAAAGAACCCAGTTCTCTCTCGGTTCCTTAAGATGTGGAGCAAACCATGAACTGATTATTCTGGGGTGGGGGACAGGGAACAGATTTTGGGGGGTCGGCAAATGAGGGCTCCACAGCACCGAGGTCAGCAGCTGTGGTCAAGGAGGACTAGAGCCCTCTAAGAAAAAGGTCTACAGCCAGAATGCTGGAGAGAGCCTCAAGGTCCTGTGCGTTGCTGGAGGGTCCAAGGGGGGTGTCCAGGAAGAGTTTCAGGGAGAGGCCGGAGCAGGGTCTCCTCAGCATGAAAAGGAGGGTCTCGTGAGAGGAGCTGTTCCCACCGTCATGGGCAGCTCAGGCCAGCCTGTGTAGGGTTGCAGGCCTTCAGTCAACCCTGGTAAAGCCAGGCCCCCTTTTGCTACTCCACTTCTTAGGGGAGAGCTTTCACTTTTCTCTGGATAGATATGGGACCCCAGAGTGTGATGCAGAGCCCCCCAGGGGGTGGGCCAGGCCCAGCTTTCCTCACCCTACCTGTGTTGGAGTCACTGTCTTCTGTTAGATTTCATTATCAACTTTACCCACCCTCGTCCAGTATCATCTATCAGTATACCCAAGAAAAGTATGAATTATAATCACTGTCTTCTAAATAGCCCATATTTTAACACTTCTACATTGTGAAAAATATATATATTTCCTGACACAGAGAAACTGAGTTCTGGTCAAGTTGATTTTTTTTTTTCCAATAGAAAACAATTTAGAAAAAACATATTAAAACTCTATCAAAGGGATGATTCCAAAACTTTCAGCAATATCTTTACATTTATAAATAAAAGGTATCAGCTTTAGAATGTCCCCTTCAAATTAATGAAAAATAATTGTAGTGATGTCTGATTAGGTTCTGCCATGTGTCTAGAGAATTCCAAGGCACAAATGGAACCAAAGAAAGTTGTTGTTAGTCAAATACCATGTACTGTTTATTGTATATACATTCTTGTTAACAAATACCACATTTTGTGAAACAAATTGTAAAATGTTTGACTCCTTCCTAATCTTCAGTGATTAAAAGAAATAACCATTCACCATCAAAGCATCTTTTTTCCCAATTTTAATTTGACACAATTTTGTTTATCTCCGGGAACAGGTTGGGCACTTTATGGAAAAATAATAGTCAAGTCACAAACCTATTTCATCAGCGGCAACTATTTGAGTCAATAAGATAATTTAGTCAAAGAGAGAAAAAAAAAAGATGATGAGTAAGGATGGCATTTATGGGGAAACTAGAAGTGCTTTTGCACGTGGTAAGATTCAGCTGCAGTTTTACTCCATCTGAGAAGACATACCTTTCTCTCTGTCAAACATGAGGCCAACTTAGAGGGTCTGTGTCTAAGGCAAAAGGGAGTGGGGTTAGTCAGGAGAAGGCCCTTGGAGTGAGGAGGATCATAGCCACTTACTGACTGAGCAACCCCAGGCAAGTCGCTTACCCATCAGTAAGCTGGGGATGACAAGAGTTTATTGTGAGAATCAAATGAGATCACATATGAACACCCTGGCACAGTATGCAACACATAGCAAGTGCTCAAAACATGTGAGCTATGATAGAAATGTTCCATACAAAGCAAGCACTACCTCCAAGAGACAGTTCGGGACAGCACTTCCTTCCAAGTAAGAGTCTAAAACTCCAAGGAGGAGATGGAATTCTGATGAGGCAGTCAGTGATTGACTAGGAAGATCAAGTGTGCATTTATTATTATTATCATTATTAATGTGCCTTCATCCAAATTCTCAATGAAGAAGACCACAGTTAACTTTTTTTTTTAAAGTTCACACTCTGCTTCAATGTCCCTGTTCACATCTTTAAATATCTTGGTTTACACAATCCTCAGGTGCTATGCTTCCTGCAAAGTTGCAAACCATTGTACCTGCCCCACTGTGGGCAGACCTCTCACTCAGCCTACAGAACCCAAGTGGAACTGACTTCCAACCCTCACCAGCCCTGCACCAATGTGCCCCCACCAGTGTTACCTCTCATGTGCCCAAATAGCAAACATTAGTGCCTTTCTAAGAAGCAAGTCCCATTCCACAATAGGGCTCCTTGCTCACCAATCTTAACAGGAAGAACACCTTGAGTTCACAGAATGTTTACTCTCTGTGCACATTTTGAGGGCAGATTATCAGAAATCTGCACTTTAATACACTCCCACTACCAACTAGATGCCAGGTACCTCATCTGATGCTTTCAGGTTCATTATGCCATTTAATCCTCAGATGAAGTCAATGAATCCCAATCATTATCCCCATATTCACCCTGAGCCTGTTGGAGGACGTCCCTGGCAGCTCAGTGTTTAAGACTCTGTACTTCCATTGCTGGGGACATGGGTTGGATCACTAGTCGGGGAACTAAGATCCCACATGCAGCATAGCTGAGAAAAAAAATGAGCCTGTTGGCACAGAGGGGCAATAAAACATGTCCCAGTGATACATCTAGTACTTGGTAGGCCAAAAGAGCTGATCAGCAAAGAACAGCCTCATCTTGCTTGTCCCGTGCCACTTTGATCCTCCATTACTCATTCCACAGAAGATGCCAAAGACAGGTGCTGCACTTCCAACCTAGGGGGACAGGTCATTTCTTCCTCATTTGGGTGTCCCTGATGGAAGGCAATAGTGAGTTGAGTTCTGATTCGATTCCTTCGCAGATATTCAATCATAGGCAATTTAATGATCTTCTCTAAGCCTCTGTTATGTCCTCTTAAAACGGGGATTCTAACAGTACTGGCTTTGTGGAGGGTGTTTGTGAGGGTTACATGAGATAATGACAGGTAAATACTCAGCACACCATGGAGCTCCACTCAGACCCAAAAGGATTAGACGGCAGGGCTCCAGTACTGACATCCAAAAAGAAGGACACAAATAGCCTTATAGATGTCAGGACAAATCAATTCTGGCCATGTTTTAGGAAAGAGAGAAAGTCAATTTCACTCCAGAATACCAGGTCAGCTCCTCAGATAGGTTCCTGTCTTCTTGGGATGTGTGACCCTACAGAATGAATACAATCCAACTTCCAAAGTTTCAGTTCTAGTGATCTGCAGATTTGGGAGTGGAATTAAATCAGTCAAATGTTAATTTAAATTTTTATTTTTATATTAAAATGAATATATTATGGAATAGAATGCAGAATTTACATTAAGTTAAAATACAAAACTTCAATAAGATTGTATTTATGGAGGGTCAGTCTGGGTTAGGTCCTCAGACCTCTGGGTTTTTCTTCTTGCCCACTTTCCTATGCACTTTAAAAAGCCTGATGGGAAAACTGTTACAAAAAGAGTATTCTTTAATGAAGTTAAACCCCTTTCTGTTGACAGTCCTATCCAGGACCTTATAATCACATAAACTCACATCTCTGGAAGATGTAAGAATTATGCTGCTGAGGGTTCATTCCTGTTAATATTAATCAAAGAGAAAGTTTTTAAAAGGCATTCATCCTTAGATGGGTAACTGACTAAAGACTTTGAAATGACATTTACATGTAAACTTGACAATTTTCAATTCTGTGTTGCAGGATCTTATCAACAGTTTCATTACTGCAGTGTTCCTTTTAATAGTTGCCATCTTGGCGATACAAGAAAAGGAAAGAAGGCATTTGTTCTATATTGGAGGGGTAAGTAGAAGCCTTCACGACTCCATTTAAGATCAGTATTTCAAGATTCTTTAAAAAGGGAAACTAGCAGACCATCATTATTTCATTTACGGAACACCCCCCACCAACCACCCCTGCTCTTTCTTGTGCTGACTTCTTCAGAAGACTTGAAGTTACACAAGCTCTAAGCTCATGAAACTGGGGATTGAGTCCCTTCCCACTTAGGGAGCTCAAGATTATTACAGCAAGACCTACCTGGGAAAAGTTCATGAAAGCAGCCAGGGATTAAGTGACCACAAAGAGATACTGGCAAGCTACAGTGCATGGGGTCACAGAGTTAGACACGATTTATCCACTCCTCAACAAAGAGAAACATGTGCTTCCCAAGTGGTGCTTGTGGTAAAGAACCTGCCTGCCAATGCAGGAGATGTAAGAGATGAGGGTTCCACCCCTGGGTCAGGAAGATCCCCTTAAGGAGGGCATGGCAACCCACTCCAGTATTCTTGCCTGGAGAATCTCATGGACTGAGGAGCCTGGCGGGCTATAGTCCATGGCGTTGCACAGAATTGGACAGGACTGAATCGACTTAGCAACCCACAAACACAAAGAGGCAGACAGGAACTGAGGAGTACTTGGAATCTTGGGTGCTACAGGCCGTGATCCCTGTCTGTTAACTCAGCCATCATGCCTTCTCAGGAGTTCCCACCCCCAGGTCTCCATCAGTACTTACCTGGATGGTCAGAACAACCCCACCTCCACCCCACTCCCCTCAACACATACACTGGTCTTCCTGCCTCCAGCCCCATTCACTCTCCATTCATCTTGGGGCAAATGGGCTTCCTGAACCTGGAACCTCCCCTCCCATCTTGATGAAGTCCCAGATCCTGCCCCTCCCCAGCCTCAACTCTGCCCCCTCCCTCACCAGCTCCACAGGTATCAAGACACACCAGATGGAGACCCCAGTTGGGTACCTGGAATTCTCTTCCTCCCAGTTTGTCTCTTTGCAAACAACTACCTGCCCTTTCAATATAGCCCAAGAGTCCTTTCCATGGAGGGGCCTTCTCAGGACTCCACCGCCACCTGGGGCCCCTTAGGATCAGTGCCCTTTTCTCCTCCTAAGGCCTGAGGCCTTAGGCAAGGTCATCCCTGGTGGTAAAGCCCATGTCCCAAAACCCTTTTTCTGAGAATGCCCCAGTGGGCTTGCAGCAGCCAAGTGGGCAGACACCAAGGAGGTAGTGGAGGGTCAGTGGGGGACAGGGGGCCACCCACAGGCCCCTCCCCACACTCTCCCACACCCCCGGATAAGGAACACAGGGTGCTGCGGAGCTGCAAAATAACCCCATTTTTCCTTCCTGCATCTGGTCTTGTGTCTGCCAGGCCCTGTGTCTCACAGCAGCAACCGTGTGTGTCATCGACGCGACTCTGGTCACCAAGACGATGAGGAATAACTTGAAAAAAGCCCTGGGAATCAAAATGGAAACCAGTAGACCCCTGACCCCGGAACCCACCCCACCCACAAGGACACCCACAAGGGGAGGCCCAAACGCACCTACAAGGGCAGCTATGAAGCCACGCAGCCGCCGGGGGCAGGCACCCTCGAAAGCACCCTCGCCGGAACCCTCGTGGACGCCTATGAAAACCCCGCCAACTCCTTCCTCCGGCGGCTCTCGCCGCTGAGCTCTCACGCTGTCACCCATTTCGGCCCACATGTGATCATAAAATCGGGACTGCTAAACCGGTAATATTCCTGCTTGTTCGTGCCGCCTTGCGTAAAAGTCGCGTTACGTTTGTCGGCGTGAACTTACAGCCCTGGGCCGCCTCCAGAGGCCTCGCGAGGTCGAAGTTGCAAGGGGAGTTCAGCGCGGCGGCTGAACGACCAGCACCACCTGAGCCGGAGGCGGGGCGGCGGCTTCCGCGCCGCGGGTGGGCGGCCCGGAGACGCGCGCGGGGCCCGGAGACGCGCGCGGTGCTCCTGGCGGGGCGCGCCCGCGGGAGGCCGGGGGCCGGGGGGCCGGAGGGGACTCGCGTGGGGAGACCAGGCGCGCGCCGGGAGGGTGCCAGGCGTTGGCTTTCGCTCCTATTCCTGGCAGTTGGCTGAGAGCGACCTCTAAGTAGGTCGGTGGGCATCTGGCTCGCGCAAAGGCCGGGCCTGGCCAGGGACGGCAGGAGAAGTTGGGTAGGCCCTGAGAACCTGAGAACGCCACGGTCATATGGCTGATAAAAAGGGCAAACCCGGGGAGCCGGCAGCAGCCCCGGCACCTGGAGCGCCACCGCCTGGGCCGGACGCCGGGAAAACGCCAGACGAGCCCAAGAAAAAGTCAGAGCAGCCCAAAGATGAAGTGGGAACGAGGAAGGGGTGTCGCCGTTACAAGTGGGAATTCAAGGACAGCAATAGAGAGTTCTGGAGTCTGGGGCACGCTGAGGTCAAGCTCATTAGCTTGGTAAGTTGGGCCTGTATCCCTGGGTGGGAGCGGGATGTCCAAAGACGGGAGGAGGGAGAAGGAGTGGGCTCCCTGGGGCTCCTGTGGCCTGAGCGCTTTGCCATGGCTCAAAGAGCATGTCTCCCGGCAGGCCTGCCTAATAGGTTCGCTGATAATGTTCACGGGGACCACTGTGCACCCCATCCTGACACTCATCATCACCATGGAGATGTCCATCTTCATCTTCTTCATCATTGTCTACACCTTCGCCATCCAGAGATACTTGCCCTTCATCCTATGGCCTATTTCTGTAAGTGAGGGGTGGTGGGGAGTGGCTGAGCCTGGTGTGAAATCCATGCGTGTATCTTGGCACTTGAAAAGTAACTGAACAAAGAGATACACCTCATCTCTCTTATTGTGCTCCAGGCATGGGCTTAGCACCTTCATGTGGGGCCAGAGCAGGGGCAACTGAAGTTAGGTAGAAAAGGCTTCCAAAAGCTCAGCTTGAGGGTGGAGGGCCTCTTCCCTATGGGGTGGTCAGAGGAAGAAGTCTTTGCTTTCCTGAAGCTTTGCTCTCCTTGGCAGCAAGGGGGGTGTAGCAACCAGTGGTTCCTTCCAACCCCTATGCCAGCACACTTGACTGAAAAGATCACTTCAAAGGTACCCTGTCGCCTGAAATCCAAGAAAGAAGTCAGTCATATAAAATGAGAATTAAAAAGAAAAATCACATCCAAAGTAGCACCAGATCACCAGTGACGATCCTTGTAAAGGAATGTTAAGCCCAGAAAGATGTTCGGCCCAAAGCAATCATTCACTGGAATGGGACTGAACTGGGCAAGTTACCACTCCCAGATTCTGTTTCTTCATCTGTAACATGAAGACAGTAACAATTTTGTATTAGATTATTGCTAGGGAATAAAAATAAAGTGCCTGATGCTTTGCCTGAAGACTCATGGACTTGAACCCCTGCCCATTACCTAGGTAATCACAAAACTTACCTACCTAACTCCCAACTAACCCAAGGTCCCTTGTTCATTGCTCAATCACAGCATGTCTCTAGAGTCTTATGCTCACCGTTTTCACTCACTTTATACACGAAATGGTTTCAGAATAGCCAAGCAACTTGCCCCCAGGTAATTCAGGTAGTAAGTGGCAGAAAAAGGATTCAAACCCAGCTTTATCAGTAGACTCTGAGTCCCTAACTATACTCTGTCCTGCCTACTTGTTAAAAGTTTTTAGAGTCCAGGGACCCACAGGTCTGGAAAAGGTCTTGGGGAAGGGATAAGCAGAGGACACATTTCCAGTCCAAGTCCCTGAGAAGACACTGGTAGTTCCCACAAGATGAAAAATCACTGAACCCTGAAAATCCTCCTGCTGCACTTACATCAAACTATTAGGGGGGAAATGTAAACACTATTGATTTAACTGAATGGCTGAGCTGGCAAAAGAAAAAAAAAGAGAAAAAAGGGGCAAACACACAGATGCCAGAAATGGGAAACAGGAACGGTAATCAGCTGCTTCAGTGTGGGTGGAGATGGCCCAGAAGTGTTAACCCAGGAACTCTGAACATGGATTCTCACATACTCTCAAGTTAAGAGATGCGGTCTTGGTCCTAGGCAAAGTGGAGATTTAGAACCAAGAATCCCACATAAGGCCAGCATCCTGCAAAGGCTGTAACCCTAAAGGAAAAGACAGAGGAGACACCTTTTTCTTACACAGAGGAACAAGAAAAGCATACTCATCTCTACCTGAGTTTTCAGTGAGGAAATACCAAAAAAGACCTTGAGAAATATGAACCTTGACCCTACACTTTCTATGTGTGTGTACCTGTTAAGGCACTTCAGTCATGTCTGATTCTGTGGGACCCTATGGACTTTAGCTCGCCAGGCTCCTTTGTTTATGCAATTCTTCAGGCAAGAATATGGAGTGGGTTGCCATGTCCCCCTCCAGGGAATCTTCCTGACCCAGGGATTGAACCCGCATCTCTTATGTCTCTGGCATTGGCAGGTGAGTTCTTTACCATTAGCACCACCTGGGAAACCCTTTGTATAGATTTGGATTAAGTTTTTCCTGCCTTCAGCCTGGAAACCTTCATGAAGTTTAGAAAACACAGTGCCTGGGAACTGGCATAAAAATCAATTCCAATTTGATAGTATTCTGAAGAAATCCATAGGATTCCTGACAAACAAGTGCAAAATCATAATCAAAGCATAAACAGATCTCACAAGACAGGTTACAGGAGTGTTCAGTTCAATCACCCAATTGTGTCCGACTCTTTGTAATCCCATGGACTGCAACATGCCAGGCCTCCCTGTCCATCACCAACTCCTGGAGTTTACCCAAACTCATGCCCATTGAATCGGTGATGCCATCCAACCATCTCATCCTCTGTCGTCCCATTCTCCTCACACCTTCAATCATTCCCAGCATCAGGGTCTTTTCCAGAGAGTCAGCTCTTTGCATCACGTGGCAAAAGTATTGGAGTTTCAGCTTCAACATAAGTCCTTCCAATGAACATTCAGGACTGATCTCCTTTAGGATGGACTGGGTGGATCTCCTTGCAGTCCAAGGGACTCTCAAGAGTCTTCTCCAACACCACAGTTCAAAAGCATCAATTCTTCAGTGCTCAGCTTTCTTCACAGTCCAACTCTCACATCCATACATGACCACTGGAAAAACCATAGCCTTGACTAGACGGACCTTTGTTGGCAAAATAATGTCTCTGCTTTTTAATGCTGTCTAGGTTGGTCATAACTTTCCTTCCAAGGA